GTGTGGGGATGTCCCTGCTTGGGCCCTGAGTGCCCTGATGCCATCCGGTGCTGCCCGCTGCGAAGGCCTTCCCGGGAGGATCGAGCCCCTGGGGGTTCCACGCGGGGAAAGACACGGATAAGCGGACGCGACGTTCCCGCGCAGAGGCAGCCCACGAGGACTCTCAGCCCCTCTCCCTGCCCGCACTCCCTTCCGTCCCAAGCCTGGCATGGGTTTGGAACGTGTAATAGCAGCCTACAGGGCAAATTAGAACAGGGAGGGAACTCCTTTCCCGACCACAGAGGACAGGGTAGCGTTTGGGGGAAGAATTGTCACAGGGCACAGAGCCGGCCGTGTGCACGTGTGTGTGTGTGCGTGTATGTGCTCCCTGGTGTGTACATGCTTGGGCGGTGTGGAAGGAGCGCAGGCTGAGGATCCAGAGGCCGTCGTCATGGCCATTCGCTCCCTGGGTGGCCTCTGGGAGCCTCAGTTCCCTTAGCCGTAAAATGGGAGTGGGTGCCCAGCATAGTTGGCTGGGCTCTCCTGGGCTGCGGTTCTGCCCGTGCCTGTGCGTGGGGAGGAGGATGAGGAGGGCACGCTGAGGATGACGACGGAAGCATTCATCTAGTGCTTAAGGAGGTGCCCAAGAGACCCGTGATCTGTCTCATCTCACGGCAGCCCCACGGGCCGGACGCTGTCACCCCAACCCTCATTTGACAGGTAGGGAAACTGAGGCTCAGAGAGATTATCATGGGCTGGTGGTGATAATCCTTAGCTCCCAGTGTTTGTGCAGCTTGAACAAGACACCGTAAGCGGTCGACGTGGTGCCTGGCAGCCAGGCCGGGCCCAGTCAACCGAGGGGTTAGGGTAGCTCAAGTTTGGCAGCCAGCTGCTGGGATTTGGATCCTGCCTCTGTTGCTATCCTGCTATGTGGCCTTGGCAAGTCACTTAGCCTCTCTGACCCTCAGGATCCTCATCTGAAACATGGGAATGAGAGCCTCCAGGGCAGGGTTTCTCGACCTCAACACAGTCGATGTTTTGGGCTGGACCAGTCCTGGTGGTGGGGACTGTCCTGTGCATTGTCGTAATTTTTATTTCATAATAATTAAACACTAATAATGATCCCATATGCCTTGCCTAAGGCTACGAGCAAGGAGTGAGTGGCTGAGAGGAGATTTGAACCTGGGTTTGGCTGACTTTAGACCCCTTATCATGGAGCCCTCAGAAACCGTGGATGCCGTCTGGATTGGGGTTCCTTAGGAGAGGGGGTACACTCATGTTGGGGGGTTGGGAGCTCTCCGAAGCCGGAGCTTTCCTCACTGGGTGCTCTAGTGGGGAAAGGGGTATGGTAATTGGGAGGGTGTTGACAGCAGAGGCATGTCCCCCAATGCCTCCCCTCCCCTCACCCCTAGGTCCTCAATGAGGTGGACAGGGCTGTGCCCTGGGAAGTGTTATCTTCCCCCTTGATGCCTGCACCCCAATGGATACCTGTCCCTGCCTCAACATGCTCCCTATTCTTGCAGAACAAAGCCATCTGACATCTCCCAAGATCTCTAGGAGGAGGTGTGGTCACCCTGGTTTTACAAGGGGGGAAACTGAGGCCCAGAGACAGGAAGTGATTTGTCCAAGATCACACAGCTGCTGGTGTCCAGGGCCAAGATAGGAACCAAGTATATCTGATTTCAGCACTTGTGCTCCTAACCCTTCCTTCCTCCTTTGATTAGAATCATCGACAGCCCCCAATTTATTCCCAGGGTTGGCACGGGAAATGCCTGACCTCACTGAATTCTTCCTGCAAAGCTATGAAAAGCTGCTGCCTTTGTACCCATTTTATTTTATCTTATTTTATTTAAAGATTTTATTTATTCATTTTTAGAGACAGAGAGCGAGGGGAGGGGCAGAGGGAAAAGGGAGAGGGACAAGCAGACTGCCCTCTGAGCACAGAGCCCGACACGGGGCTTGATGTCATGACCCTGAGATCGTATCCTGAGCCGAAACCAAGAGCCAGATGCTTCACCAACTGAGCCACCCAGGCGCCCCTGCACCCATTTTAAAGGGGAGGAACCTGAGGCTCAGGGAGCTAAAGTAACTTTCCCAAGGTCACACTGCATGTCACTAGCAGCTGAGCCTAGAACCCAGGCCTGAATAACTCCAGAGTCCAGGCTCTCCCTCCCCACTGGGGCCCAGAGAAGGGCGAGTCCCCAGCAGGAGCGTTGACCCTCTGTAAGCCCCGCTGTACCCCCCAAGAGAGGCCTCTGGCGGTGCCCCCACCTCTCTGGCCTCAGCCTTCTCTCTTGGCAGTCACAAAACCAACAAGGCAGGAACCGGTGTTTATTTGCTCCACTGTTCATGTGTTGGTTTAGGAGAGGAAGAGCTAGAAAAGAGAGCTTTTCAGACATCTCCCTGCAGCCCGGTGGGATGGTGAAAGTTCCAGGAAACTGGGCCTCAGTGCCCAGCCCCGCCCACCCAGCAGTGTGCCGCAGAGGGCCGAGGCCTGCCAGCCAGCCCGCGGGGACTTGCTCCTCCCCGTCCTTGCTCCTGGTTAACCGCTGGGCCCAGAGCTAGGGAGACCTGGGTGCAAGTCCGGGTCTTCTCCCTAGAAACTGTGTGGCTGCCCCTCGTAAAGCTCCAGTCTCTCCATCTGAGAAACGGGAACAGATCATACCTCTGTCCGTGTGGCACCCTTCTAGGTGATGGGGACGCGGGAGTAAACGGGACAGAGGCATCCCCTGCCTCCTGGTGCTCACGGCCTGGGAATGAACTAGTCCCGTGGACAGATGGTCAGGGAGGGCTTCCTGGAGGAAGGGACAGTTAAGCGGGGAACACAGGTGGGTAGGAGTTAGCCAGACCAACAGGGGAGGGAAGGGACCAGCAGCACTCGGCCTTGGGGAGCTGAGGTTTTGCACTGTGGTAAGTCAGCTATAGGTTTAGGAACTCAGTTTCCTCCCTCTCAAAAGGGGAGTCATAAGGATGGCGCTAGGAGAGCTGGAGGAACGCTGGCTCACACAGTGGGTTCACGCCTGTTCTCTGAGCACCTGCTGGGCCCGGAGCCTGCGTTTAACGGTTATGTTTTAGTCAGTGCTTCCCTTGCGCCAGAGGCTGCGCTGACCACAGGGATGCATGCTCTCCGCTTGGACACCCCCATTTTACAGGTGAGAAAACTGAAGCTGTGAAATCAGCTTGCCCAATGCCACGCGGTTGCTGAGCGTGGAGCCCGGATCTGGACCCTGCTCTGTGGGGCTCCGAAGCTGGCCGGGTTGGGCCAGAGTAAGCCCCAGGCTCCAGGTTTGGGGTCCCAGGGGTGACTCTGAGGCCCTTCCTCCTCCAGCTAATGCCCAGGGTGGTTGGACCTGAGGCACATTTGCACTTCCAGGTCCCTAAAAGAGGTGCCTGTCGCAGCCCTCGCCCGGGGCTGGCAGCCAACCACATCTGGGAGTGGTCCCCGCGCACCCCTGTCATTATAACGGTGGCTTTGAAGCGCTGGCAGCAGTGCTGTTTGCCCACGTGGGAGGGGGCTTCCTGGACCCCCCACCGCCGGCCAGGCTCCGCCCGACGCCCCTCCCGTTCCCTTGCAGGCCGAGCAGCGCAGACGGGTCCCGGGCCGGCATGGCGGATCCCAACGAAGGCCCCCACACAGGGCCTGGGGAGGTGGCCGAGAGCCCCGGGGATGAGAGCGGCACCCCCAGCGGCGAGGCCTTCCCCCTCTCTTCGCTGGCCAACCTGTTTGAGGGGGAGGATGGTTCCCCTTCCCCCTCCCCGGCTGACACGGGTCGCCCTGCCGGCCCCGGTGACGGGCGACCAAACCTGCGCATGAAGTTCCAGGGTGCCTTCCGCAAGGGGGTGCCCAACCCCATCGACCTCCTGGAGTCCACCCTGTATGAGTCCTCGGTGGTGCCTGGACCCAAGAAGGCACCTATGGACTCGCTCTTTGACTATGGCACCTATCGTCACCACCCCAGTGACAACAAGCGGTGGAGGAAGAAGGTCATCGAGTGAGTATTGCTGGCCGCCTGGCCAATGGTCTCCTCTGTGTCCAATCCATCCACCCATCTGTCCATCCGTTCGCCTGTCTGTTCATCCACCTGTCCACTTTTCCATATACCTTTCTGTTCACCCATCTATCCATCCATCCACCGTCCATCCATCCACCATCTACCCATTCATTCATCCAGCCACCCGTCTTTCCACTTGCTCATCCACTTGTCCAATCCATCCGTCCATCATCCACTCATTCACGTATCTCTCTACCCTTCTGTCCTCCTCGATCGCTCCAACCATCCACCCACAAAAACCCCTACGGACCCCTCTCAGTCCTCTGTGTGTATCTGGAGGACAGTCTTGAGGTCGGGAGACGGCCCTCTGTTGCCTGATCCTTGCCTGTCCTCCTTGACGATCACAGACTCGTTTACGCCCTTGGATGAAGCCCTTGCTTGGTCAGGAGCTATCTCCTTTCTTTATTCACTGAGTCACTGATGCATGTAGTGCGTGTTTCTCAAGCACCCCCCCAAGTGCCAGGCAGTGTGGTTGGCCCCGTGGCTCTGGGGGTAAGCCACACCAGATCCTGCTCCGACTGAGTTTAGACGCTGAGTAGCCTTCACGGGCACCTTCATTTTGGAGGGTGAGCCAGGTACTAAGCAAGTAAATAGACACGTGAACATACAGTTTGGGTTGGGGGAGGTGGTGAGGCAGAGAGAAGAGCTGATACAGGAAAGGATGTCCAGGAGGGCTTGGAGGAGCCAGCATTTCAGCCCAACACTAAGGGATGAGAAGGAGCGGCCACACGGGGTGAGGAAGGTGTTCCAGTGGAGGGACGTGCACGTACCAGGGCCCGAGGCTGGAAGGGCTGGGCATGCCCAGGGAACGAGGCCTTGTGGTCATCCACACGCTGCTGGACAATGTGCTTCCCATCTGCTCAGAGGACAGCAAAGCGCCCCAAGTGTCCCCATTCCTTCCAGGTCCTGCTGGAAGCTGATGGGCTCCATGCTCCCTTTCCCCTCCCTCAGAACCCCTCCTTCAAGCCCTCACTGCACCCCTACCCCAGACAGGGCTAATAGTCCACAGGAAGAGCTGTGCAGGAACTGGGGCTGTGGCCATGAGTGGCTGAGGTCTTCAGAGACCCTGAACACCACCTAAGGAGGTATGGGGGGTGAGGGTGTTCTTTTCATTTCGTTTTTTGGCTCCAAGTTCATGATTCAGGAGCAGATAAAATGGGGGCTGCCCAGGTGCTCTCATTGGGGTTGTCGCAGTCTGCGACCCGTCCTTAGGAGGGCGCCTTTTCCCCTGGCACCCCACCGCTGGAGGCCCTGCCCCAAGTGGGGAGTGTGGGGCCTGAGGCCGAGGAGGGAAGGAGAGCAGCTGTCCATGTCCCCTGGCCTGCTACCTGCTCTCTCTGCCCCTGCCACCCCTCCTGACTCAGTCTCCCCTCCCTCCCACCCAACGCTGTCACTGTTCCCCCTCGGCTCCCCTCCGCTCTCCTCTGCTCCCTCCCTGTCTCCGTTTCTGTCTTTCTCTGCTCTACCCTCCGTTTATTTAACAGGTTCTTCCTGTGCTCCATATGCACCAGCGCTGGGTGGGTGGGGACATAACAGAGAGGATTCTAGCTGCTCCTGGCTATTTGTCTCTTAAAACCTAGCACACAGTAGATGCCCAAGTGGTGTTTGTCCAATGACCAAGGGAATATACATTTTCTTCCTTCCTTTGTCTCTCAGATTCCCCAGTCCCAGCCTCTGTGCGTCGAGTCCTTTCTCCATCTGCCTCTGTAGCATTTCTGCCCCCTGCACAGGCTCCAGACGTACAGTGGGTGCTAAATAAGAGCCTCAATGTCAGCTAACGTGTGCTGTGTCCACTGTGTGGGGGGCCCTGAACCCAGCACCTGTGTGCATGGCCTCGTTTGTCTCAAATGTTTGTTGAATGAATAAATCAGTGAGTGAATGGCTGAATAAATGAATGAGTTGCTTTATCTTTTAGTCCAGCATTCCTCCTTTCTTTTCTCACTCTCTTTGTCTCTTTTAGTCTCTGGCTTAGTAAGTACTCAGTAACTGACAAATGGAAGAGTGTATGGGTGGATGGAGGGGGTGGATGGCAGGTGGTGGATGTCTGGTTGGGTAAGTGGGTAGATGGATGGATGGATGGATGGGTGGATGGGTGGGTGTGTGGATGGGTGGGTGGATGGGTGGGTGGATGGATGGATGGATGGATGGACAGATGGATGGATAGACAGATAGATGGATGGACGGATGGGTGGATGGATGGATGGTAGATGGGTGGATGGGTGAGTGGATGGATGGATGGGTGGATAGATGGGTGGGTGGATGGGTGGGTGGATGGATGGATGGGTGGATGGATGGATGGA